CAATTTTCAGGGGAGAGATGTATAACAAAATCTTTTTCAAATTAGGGGGTAAGTCTTATGACTTAACTAATACCAAGCTAGCCTCAGATTCTAGGTTTGAATGGGTGGAGAGTGTTGGGCGGTATGTGAGAAAAATGAAGTTGAGTAGAGTAGCTCTACATTTCCTATGCATAAGATTTAATGAAGCTTCATAAATCGAAGGAAAATCCTTCAAAACTTGGAGATGCAAATTAGTGAATAATCACCAAATGTCCTTTATTCAAGGAAGACAAATTATGGATGTCGTGTCAATAGCAAGTGAGTGTGTAGATTCAAGGATTAAAGGAGAGATCCCAATAATTATGAGCAAGCTTGATATAGAAAAGGCATATGATCATGTCAATTGGGAGTTTCTACTTAATATCTTGAGGCAGATGGGATTTGGAGACAAATGACTTAAATGGATAGGTTTTTGCATCAAAACTGTCAGGTTCTTCATACTTGTTAATGGAGAACCTTATGAAGAGTCTGTTGGTCTTTTTCCCTCTGAGAGAGTAGAGAGGATTACAACAGGGACATCCTCTCTCTTCTTTCTTATTTATTTTAGCTATGGAGGGTCTTAACAGTATGATTAGAGTGGCCAATCAAAAGGACTAGATAAAGGGTTTCAACATTGGTAATCAATTAGGGGTCATTTTGCAAATAAGTCACCTTTATATGCAAATGACACACTAATATTTTGTGATGCAAAGGCAGAACAAGTTAGTTACATTAGAGTTGTTTTGGTGATTTCTGAGGCCATCTCTGGATTGGCTGTGAACTGGGGGAGAAGCAGCATCTTCCAAGTCAAGGAAGTGACAAATATTCAGATGTTGGCAAAAATTTTGCAATGCAAGATAGAGCACTTACCAATTACTTACCTGGGAATGCCTTTGGGGAATAATCACAAGGTTTTGTTTATTTGGGATGGAATCATTGAGAAGACAGTGAAGAGGTTGGCTAATTTGAAGGCAAACTATCTGTCTCTGGGAGGAAGAGTCCCTCTGATCAATTCGGTCCTAGATGCGTTGCCTACATATATTATGTCACTTTTCCCTTTACCAACAAAAGGTAGAAGAGAGATTGGATAAGTTGAAGTGTAATTTCCTATGGTCGGGGAACAAAGAAGGCAAAAAATACACTTAGTTAAATGACAGACAACCTTACTGAGCAAGAAGACTGGGGGTCTTCCCATAATAAAATGAAGAGTCTTGAATAAAAGTCTACTTTCTAAATGGCTTTGGAGATTCGTGGTTGAAAATCAGGCATTATGGAGAAGAGCAATTCTCAACAAGTATGGGTAGACCAAGGAGTGGGTGTCTAATGTAGTAGATAGCACGTATGGGGTATCAATTTAGATATCAATCAGAAATTTATGGGATAGTCTAAACTCTAAAGAAGAATTTAGTGGTCAAGGTAGGAGAGGGTAGCAAAATATTTTTTTTGGAAGGACAAGTTAATTGGACAAGAGTGTCTAAACTTAGTCTTCCCCGATCTCTTTTCGTTTTGTACCAACCTTGAGGCTAAAATTGCTGAGATTTGGTCTCCTCAGGAAAAGAACCTCACATTTAGGAGAAATCTAAATGATTGGGAAGTGGATAGAATTGCTGAACTGCTACTCAAATTAGGTGAATTCATGGGCCTTACTACAGAAGCAGATGGTATAAGATGAAAACATGACTCTGATGGCAAATTCTCTTTGCGTCGAGTATATAGGAGAGAGGTCATGACTCACTTCGGGGAATTCATGGTCCATGGAAACAAATATGGAAAGGCAACACCCCAACCAAGGTGAAATGCTTCACCTGGTTGGTCACTAAAAGGGCATGTCTCACTCAGGAAAAACTCAAGAAAAGAGGCTTTCAGATTGTCTCCAGAAGTGTTTTTTGGTCATGAGAAGGAAGAAACTAACAACCACTTATTCCTACACTGTAAGGTTATTGTTTAGGTGTGGCGCATGGTCTACAACATTTCTCAAAAGCCCTAGGTGATGCCAGAATATACTGCTGATCTTTTGAGCTGCTGGATAAGGAGGGGGGAGAGAGACCCAAAAAAGATGGTGGGCTATTTGGAGAGAAAGAAACCTTAGGTTCCATGAGAATATTACTAACAATATGCAGAAAGTTAAAGAAAATTGCATCAACATGTTTTTTTGGTGTAAATAAGAGGTATAGAAGTAGTAGATCAGTTGATAGATTTCCTAGGATCAATGTAATTATAGTTTTAGCTTGCAACTTTTTGGAGGTAGCCAGCATACCCTTAATGCTGAAGAGTACAACTTTAACTTTGTCAAAAAAAAAAACAAGAGGAAGAGGTTGGGGTTGAGCGTAATGGGCTTCAAAGCAACTACTTTAGGTGATATTAATGATGTTAAATGGTTGATGTGGTTGAGAAGCCTCTGAGTAATTTTTCGAGGTGCAATTTACGAGTTGATAGTGATTCTCTCTTTCTATTTTGACATCAGAGGAACATGATCCGTGAGGCAACAACATTTTTGTTGGATGTTCTGACTTCTGAAGCCTAACCTTCCAGAGCATGGTTACCTGCAGACTAAGGTATTTGTTCCCTTCTCATTAAGGGACATCTTTATGCTTATACATTTTTCTTTGGTAAATACTAGCCATGAAATATTTTTGGCCCTTTTCATTGTCATTATGATTACAACAACTATGCCTCAAGAAGTTAACTTGGTAAGAAACTTATTGATGATAATAGAAAGTGACTGAAGCTCTTTAAAATATTAGAAAGTATCAAAACAAACAAGAAACTTCTTGATGATAATGGGAAGTGAACTTTGAATGTTGGGAAGTATTGGGGGCAATTTAGTGAGTGGAGTAAGACGAATGTGGAAAAGAGGAAATCAAGGCAAAGAAGAAACTTGTTGATGATAATAAAAAGTAATTGGAGCTTTTTGGGCCTTGTTGAAGTATCCAGGACAATTTAAGACATTTAGTATTATGAATGTGGCAAAGAAGTGGAATTTCAATTTAGAAATATTAGAGGAGTAAAAAGTGAGACATCTTCCTGCAGCCAATATGCACAAATGTTGAGTAAATGATTGTTGGGATTTATGGAGTTCTGATGATTGATAAAGAATGATGAAATACGTCGTCAACATGGTCTAAAGGTACAATATCATGAGCAATTGAATTCGGACAAACATTTAAAATAAATAAAAACAAGAATGCAAAAATCAAGAAATGGATAATGCCAATTTCATGATAAAACTCAAGGAAACAAAGTAGTGAAGAATTAAAGAGAAAGAATCAATGAGTTTGATTTGAAGAGGGAGTCTAAAGAGAAAAGGAGTTTAATTGAAGAAGTAGTACTCACTTGAAGTAGAATTTTAAGTCAAAAGAGTTTAAGTCAATGTGGAGTTTAAGGTGAAGTATAGTTCTATGAAGAATTGTTCTTTAATAGCGGTGAATTCGTTCAAAATAGTTGTGCACTTATCGATCAAAAAGGACAATTGAAATAATTGACTTCGTAAGTGTTATCAGCAAATTGAAGGAACACATTGAAGAACCTGGTCCTATTAGAGTTGATGCATTGGGAGTTCTTCTTTGTTATTGAGTCTTGATGAGTTCTAAACTGAATTAAGAGTGTTGTCTTCAAGTTGGGATAGCTCGAAGAGTTGGGAACACATACCTTGGAGGTTTGTATTGAAGTTTAGGAATTAAAGTTAGTTTCTAGGATTGTAGGAGTTAATAATCTAAATATACAAGCTTAGGAATTAGAAGTTCCTCGGATTGCAAGACTAGTAATATGAATCCATAATTTGAAATTTAGGAATTAAAGTTAGTTCCTTAGGTTATAGAGTTTGTAATCTTAAACGATTAAGGCTCATTGATTTAGTGAAGTTGGAGTTAAATCCTATAGGGGTACAATTCATGGTTTTTTACACCTTTTGAGTTGGGCATTCTTCACATAAAAATATTGCGTGCTTTTTGTTTACTATTCTTCTTACTTTATTTGAACATGTTAGGAAACTTGTTTTACCGCAATCAAGTCTCAAGGGCCAAGAGCTTATATGGGCCGCGCTTATATGCCTAGTTTTAAATGGGCTTAAAAAATCCTATATCAATCCTATCCCAATAACGAGTTGGGTTGGGCCGGCCCATGGGCTAAGCCTATTTTGACGGCTCTACTCAGTAGCTTTTGATTTTTAACTCTATATTTGTGTCAAAAAAAATCAACATAATATGTACAGCTAATATATCCCGGTTCCAATCATTGACTTGACTTAAAATTCAGAACAAATAAACTTAAAATTTCAATCCAACTTTGACTTAGATATCTTAGGTTTTTTTATGGTGCAATGCCATAGATTCATTTTACTGATGTATTATTTTAGTTCTTATACTTCTCTTCAAAATATAAATTCTTCTGTATGTTATAATTATCTCATATAGCCATTATAATTCTAGGGAAAATGATATATAGGAGTTGACTAATATCATTATGTAAAAGAAAGAGCTTAGGAGTTACTGCTATTTTCCACTAAGCAAGTTAAAGCCCACAGATTTCTGTTAATTAATTGTGTAGAAAAATTTTAGTGTTGACTAAGACTAGCGTTGAAACTAGTTTTCTTCTCAAAATCTTTTGAAATGTGATTCAATATTACATTTTCTACCTATTATACCCTCAATTTATTACTTTGAAAAAAATAAAACTTTTTTGAAATCTTGAGTTTTTATTTCATCTACTTCATAATTAATAGGGGTAAAATGGTAAACTCACTATGTCAATTATTGTTTTATTAATAGATATGTCAATTGAATGGAAAAGTAATTAAGGATAGCGCGAGTATTAGATTGCGAGTGTTTTGACTTGCAAATAAGTCAACACATTAAATGCTTTGACTTTTTTTTTTCCTTTTGCTTTTTTTGTTGATCTATATATTTCGTAGTTCACTGAAGAACAACCCTGCATCTAACTTCCAGTTCTTGTTTAATTTGCATTGTTCCATGGGTCGCACTAAGCTTGTGATGAAGAAAATTGAGGATCCAACATCCCGTCAACAGTTCTATTCAAAGCGCAAGGATACCATCCTTAAGAAGTCCAATGAGTTGGCTGTTTTATGTGATGTGGATGTTGGTCTTCTAATGTTTTCTCCAGCCGGCGAAGTGACTAGCTATTCTAGCAAAGAACGGTGAGTGAAATTTCTACGATGAACATTATATACGTTTCCTTTATAGTACATATTTTCATATGATTTTTTTTTTTGGTTGTTTAGTCTTGAGGATGTCATGCTCCTTGCTATGAACAAGGCTGGTGAACTGAACAAGCTGTATGTTTATTTCAATATGTCAGATACATGAATTAGACTTTGCCAATTCTAGTTTAACTGACCATTGATCTAAGTTTTTTTTTTGTTGTTGTTGAAGATCTCCTGAAAATCCAAATGAACAGGTACTGAGTTTTACGCATTGATCAGCAGTCTCTTCCGATAAGTCCTTGGAATTTCATCTGATCTTTTATTTTGCAGGCTTTGATGGACTCTCTCACACAATCAAAACATGAAGCCGAAATGGTGGAGAAGATAGCGATGTATACCACTCTCCTCTTGCACTCTGTGTATATATATTAGTCTATTAGTTTGTCAGAGCAGATACATGACTTCTCGAGTTCATTTCTTTTGCTTTTTGCTTTTTTTTTTTTGTATGGTATTTTCTACATGATTGAATAATTTTTTTCTTTTGTTGGGTATTTTTACGATGCTGATGATTGATCAACGTGCTTTAGTGTTGAGGTAAGATTAATATGTAGAAAGGGAATCACCTTCCGCCAATATTTGTTATTACTGAAAACTCGTAAATTGATATAGTTTTTTTTTTTTATGTATTTTCAAAACAGGCTCATGAGGAGAAGCTTAATGGGGTCAAAGAAAGACTAAGTGAAGCACAACAGAAAATAAGGTTGAAGAGTTGCTGACTCTATATTTCCTTCCTGTCTCTCTTTTTTTGATATTCTAAAAGATTTCCCTCTTTTATAATGATTTTTTCCGTTGGATCGAGTAGGTATTACGAACCACAAGTGGAGAGTATCAACTCTGTCCAAGAAGCTGATGCATATGAGAAGTTCATTTTGAGTGCTCTGGAACTGATTCAACTATCAAAGGTGAGCATATCTCCAGATGCAAATTTTTGTACTTCGATTTCTTAGGACTAGCATGATCATGTTTTGTACTCTTCTTACCAGGCAAAACTCTTGGGTGACCAGGAATTTCTCCAGAGAAATGAAAATGTTGCGGTAAGATTTTGGAAGGATGGTTAACTGTTTTTCGAACATCTATTATGGAAAGTTAACTGTTTGCATTATAATTTTTTAGGTGTCTTCTGTCAACGCAGAGGCTATGGCTGCTGAAGGTAACGAATCTTCATATTCAAATACTTAGTGGTAACTCTTTTGAGTGTATATGTAGTGTAAATTTGGGCCATTTTTGGTAAACTAGATGGCTGAATGGTATATATGTTAGTAAATATATACAATAACTTTTACCCCTCAGTCTCAAACAAATTGATGTCGGAATTGGTACTTCTTCATTTAAAACTCATTTCATACCATCATCTATAGCCACTTTTTTCCAAAGAGGAATCTATTGAATCTTGCTTCTCTGGATTTGTAGGAACCAGTGGGGGATGGATGTATTGAGGAAACAGGCCGGATCACGGCGGGGAAGTAGCTGAGGATGTCCAACAGCTATAGCAGGAATAATAGTTATACTAGTTTATAGGTTAAGAACTTAGTAGAATAAATAACTTGCCCCTATCAGGCAAGCAAAAGTATGAATAATGTTGCATTTGTCTATTGTGAATGCAACTATTTGAATATGGCATCTGAATATGGCATCAAAACATAGCTATTGTGTTTTGAAATAGAAAACAATTTGGTTTGGGTTGATTTGGTTTCGATATTTTTTGCATCCTCCTAGTTCATGAGTTTTTTGTTAATTTTCTGAACCTTTAAATTACTTCTAAACATACGAGAGTGATCAATAGATCTTAATTTTTGGACTTAAAAAGTTAAATATACTACAAAGAAAACAATGTACATGGTAATAATAATAAACTTATTTTTTATGTCAGGTAGATTGGATCTCGTACTAAATAAATAAATCATATCTTCAAATTAATACGATAATTTGTATACTTATGTCTTGCAAAATTAGATCGACTTGATTTCGTGATTTACAGAATTTTAATCTAATTACAGAAAATAAGTAAAATATGATTTAATTACATAAATCTTTGACCATCCATTGGTTCACCAAATTTATGGTCATTTCATCCCACAAGGAACAGCTAATTAGTTCAAAGTTGTTGTTACAACATCTTTATTTTTTCTTTATTATAACTTAAGTAAAGAGAACTAAATATTAGGAGAAGAAATATTATCACTATTAAGTTTAGATAAGTCTCAAATAGTGTACGTAATGTATAGTCCGTGTATAATTTTTTTATAGGTAAACTATATTAAGTTTCTTTAATGTATCATAATATATAAGATTATTTATTTTTGACTTTTGGCTTTTTTTTATGCAAACAATATATGACTATATTTATTGTAAATTAATTACTTTATTGAATATATTTGAAATTGTTGGTAAGAACTTATTACATTTAAATCAAAACTCTGAGGCGATTATTATTGTATGACTCGATATCAGTATTTCCCAGGCTTACACCGAACCAGCCATAGGGAGAATTTATTTAGTATCTTGTAGACGATGTTTATCGCTACATTTCCTTCTTTGTTAGGATTGTGTTGAGTTTGTAGAGAATAGCATAAGAAAAGTATAATCGAGGAACTTTCTGCTAGCCTAAGATTGTTACTAAGATAGGAAGATTCAATTATGCTAGCTCAAGATTGTTAACTAAGATCAGAAGATTTAATTAAAGAAGAGGAAGCTAGAAGAGAAAAAAAATATTTTGGATAAAGGAACTTCATTATAGAAGAAGACTATTTGATTTGGGAGGATTTACAAATGTCTAATATACCCCTATTTCTATTTATATAAGGATGCTTCTAGAAATTATTCTAGATATTGTTTTTTCTTTTCTTTTTTTTTTGCTTTTTTTTTCTTTTTTTTTGAAAGGTACAAAAAATATCTTAGATATTTAAAAGAATTTTCTCGAATTTTGTAGAGTAAATATTTTGATATTTCTATTTAAGAAAAATCTAGATGCTCTAGATATTAGATATACGATAAGAATTATCTAGATATCATTATATTCTAACTATGTAACATGAATCTGAATATTTCTATATTTTACTATGAATACCTAATTATCAAGAACATTTAGATTTTTTTAAAGTAGAAATATGTAACGACCCGCTAGGTCATTTTGAGAAATTAGAACTATTTTGACTCTTTCAAAAAAAATAATTAAAGGGGTATTTTAAACTATTTGATAACTACAAGTATCTAGTTGATGAATTTTTGTTAAATGAGTATTATAGTTGAATAGTTAGTGGGTCACATCCTTAACTAATAGTTACCACTTGGACCATATATATATTGCGATGAGTTAGTGGGGGTTTTTCACCCATTATACATATTACATAAATTAAACTTTAAGTGTCAGTGTCTTCCTTGAGGTTGAAGAACAAGGTTTTAACTTTTTCATTATTAACCAATAATCGATTGGGGTATTAAACAATATACCAAAGCATATGGACATTAGCTGAAGTATTTAATGACTTGATCTCTTGTGTGTGACCGAGTCTTTTATTGAACCCGTATTATTATGATGATTGAGTGATTATATGTCATAGCGGCATTTGATTTATTGAAATGTTGTATCATCCCCTTTGATTGATATCATATTGTGCACATGCATTGACATGAGATTTAGCATGTGTAAAGGTCTAACACATTGAGATTGTCCGTGTCAAGATCGAGTTATGATTATAATTCGGGCACGTGGAGATCGTCGTGCGAGTGATTGGTTATGATTATAAGTTGGGCACGTGGAGATCGTCCGTGTTGGGGATTATTTGATTTTATGATAGTGTGTTGAGATCGTCCGCACAGACACGTGGAGATCGTTCGTGTCGGTATATGGACCTCGCAAATTCCCCATGGGTCATGAATTCTCGATGTATTTCCGAGGAGTATCAGGTATATACGATTGAGAGAGTGTTGGGTATTCTGAGGCATATCATTTCATGGTGTCATACTGCATTGCATCTCATGACATCCTTCATTTTTTTATGATTACGTGTTTTATTTGGTGGTTGGATGTTAATTGAGGGTTGATTACATCTATTTGATGAAACTTGACTGGTAAGTGTAATATAAACATGTATAATTAAAGAATTGATTTTTCTTATATAAACTTCTATCACTACTTCTTCGTTGCCGGTCAATGAGATATACTGGGTACACGTGGTTTCGTACTCATACTACACTTGCTGCATTCTTGTGTGGTGCAGATTGGATTTCAAATTCGGGCACGTTCTTGGAGCTTGAATATGAGTTTGGATTATCTTGGAGTTGTGGTGCATTGCTTGAGATATTCTGCGGCCCACGCCTTCAATCTACCTCCATTTATTAGGTTATTTTGGTATTCTGATAGGATACTTATTATGTTTATATTTTCATATTAGTTTGGACTTGTATCCTAATGTAGAAACTCTTGTACTTATGACACTACATCTTGGGGGTGGTATTTCTATTTTTCGCATTTATTTTGAATACTTAGTATGTTAGATATTAGTTGATATTATCTTTTCACGCTTAAGTTGAAATGGTGAAATTTATTGGGTTGACTTACCTATCGATTGAAAACATAGGGGCCATCACAACTCATAATTTTTGGATTGTGACAAAATACCAGAGATATTTACTCTATAAAATTCTTCTAAATATCTAAAATAATTATTTGTACTTCCAAAAGATCAACTTTAATTTTTAACAGAATTTGATCATGAAATATTTTCAGTGAACTAGTTTCGAAATTTCTACTCACAATTTTTTTTTCAAAACAATTTAAGTAAAATAAAAAATTTAAGACCAAACAGAAATACAGATAAAAGGAAAATAAAAACCCTTCTTTAAGATAAAGATAAAATTTTTAAAAAGACCAAATTCCAAATCAGGTGCCTTGCCCTCCCCCTCTCATCTCAACTTTGTTCTCTGCACGTTTTTCCTATAAAAAATTGCCTCCGAAAAAAAATGAAATTTTCCAACAAACAAAAATCCCAACTTAGAATTTGACCCAAAATAGTAGAAAATCTGAGAGCTTTTCTAAATAAAACTTGAGGGAACCCCTTAAAATAGAATTCTTGATCATATATAGAATTCATCATTTTCTTGAACCTTTGTTAAATCATTCTCTTTTTTTTCTCTCTCACTATTTGTTACAAAAGAAACCAAACTTTTGCATTTTAACAACTAAAGATTCAATTTTTATATGCATACATATACATTTTAGGTGTAAAAATTGAATCTTTTTAGTGTTTATAGGGGCTTCAATCCATCTGATTCATATATATACATTTGTATTGTAATATGCATTTGTATATATATATTTAAATTCTCTCTGTTAGCATTTGAATTGGATAAGGTTTTATGGTTGTTTCTTTAATTGCATTTGGTGTTTGTTGAAAGAAAAAAAAAGGGGGGGTTGTTGATACATGCCAAATGCAATTAAAAGAAGGGCAGAATATGGGATGATTAGTATTATAATGGGAAGGGTAGCCTATGTGTTTGGTTTTGTTGCTTTGATTTGTGTTTGGGCAGCAAGAGATTCAGAAGGGAAAAGGAAGTTTCCAGGAAGCAATTTAGAGTTAGCTGGTGTTTGGCGTGGTCCTGTGATAGACGAAGATACGGTATGGATTTTGTTTCACTTATATTCATATGGAGATGAATGTAATGTGCATTTATAAAATGTGTTTAGATATGAGTTGCTTAATGTATATGTCCTATGCATTTGTCTGCTGATAGCTAATTAGTACTATTTTCTGATGAGTATTAGCAATTTCGTTGAAATTTGAAGTAGTTATCTCTAAAAGCTTAAGTTTTTAGATTAGATGGTCACACACTTTGATATGGTCAGAGTAGGCAGATGTCCTACTAATCAAATGTCACTGCAACCCATTATCGAAAAGAATTTTCATGTGTTTGAACCATGAAAAAGTATCAGGCTTGCACGTAGAAGGGGCATGTTGAAAATACAATTAAATAATAAAACTGTGTTCTCTTTCTAGCGGCTAAGGTTTTAGATAAGATGGTCACAGTCTTAAACAACTTTCGTAAGAGGTTACTTTTGGATTATGTTAATGAATTTGTGTTTTCAAATAAGAGTGGGATTTAACAAATATGGGCTTAGGAGTCTATGCTAAAGTTTTTAAGGTTTTTTATTTCCAAAAGTTCAGAGACTTAGCTGTTGCCTGCTAGTTGTAAAAATGGCTGAAATTTGGAGGTTCATAGGAAACAAGAATTAAATCGGTATTTACAAGAAAGACAATGAGGAAGAATCTCTTATAATCACCCTTGGAACTTAAATACTGGTGTTTTCCTGAAATCAGTAATCTTTTGTATTGCATCAAAGGTGTTTTCCTCGCACGGGCATTTTGAAGATCATTGTGCAAGAAAAACTGGAGTCGAGAAGCATAAAACAAGTTTATATTCGTTTTTAGAATTCATTTCTCTAACTTAATTCTTGCCTTGTCAGAATACTATAACTTGATGATCTTCTGTATGCAGGCCGAGCAAGTATGGATTCATTGCAGGGAAGAGTTAGAAGAGGGTACCGAAGCTGCAAAGTTTCTGGAATATTATATTCTACAGACAGCAACAGGAAGTTATAGTTACTTAAAACAGGATATAGCTTTGTTGAGAAAAAGAACCTTACAAAAGGCTATTGAAGATTTGCCTCCCCGGGAGAAGCAGATTTTGTTGCAGTGCTTAAGAAGGAAAAATGTTCCAGTTCATATTTCTGATAGTGACGATGCATTCAGTACTTGGTTTAGCAAGTACGAAGAGCTTTTTTCACAATTGTCAAGTGTTCCCAGGAGGTACCTAAGAAAAAGAAAGAATCCATTTTTGCCAAAAAAAAAAGTTCTAAAAAAAAGAAAGAAATCATTTTTGCCAAAAAGACATGCTCCAGTTCCAGCCCTAGCTCCATCTCCAGGCCCTGCAACTGTTCCGTCTCCCACTCCATCTCCGGGCCCTGCAACTGTTCTGTCTCCGGCTCCCTCTCCAGGTCCTGCAGCATTTCAAATGCTTGCTCCGACTCCAGGTCCTGCAACTGTATCACCGGTTTATGTTCCAGTTCCTTCTATTGAAGTGCCCGCTAGCTCTCCTCCAACTTTGCAGCCTCCTTCTCCAGTTCTAAAACCTCCTGCAAAGCCTCCAAAACATCAAACTCACACCAATTCTTCATCACCTTTACCTGTTAATCCTCCAGATAAACCGCAAAATGGTCCTAATTCTCAGCGAGATAATCAGCAGCATCGAAATTATTTAATTGCTGCAGTGGCTGGATGTTCTGTTGCAGGAATTGCCTTTTTAGCTCTGTTGATATTGTGTGTTAAAAATAAGAAGAAAGAAGTAGCTCCATATGGGCAAAGGGATGGGAAACCGCCTTTGAATTCGACTGCAGGTGTGTATTTGCTGCTATTTATCATGATAGTTAATTAATCTCATTGTGTCATTCTTTTCATTACATTTCAGTAATTTGTATGATCTGTGTTATCAGGTGCTTCTCTAAATTTCGTGAGTGCATCTGCTGTAAATGACGCTGATCCTCATAATTCTTCCGAAGCAGACGTGGAACTGTCAAAATCTGAGATGAATGCAACTGCTCATGCACCATTACCGCTTCCTCCAGGAAAATCTGCACCTCCACCTCCACCTCCGCCTCCTGGTCCTCCACCACCTCCTCCTCCTAAACCACCTGCTCCGAGCCCTCCTCCACCTCCAAAAGCTCGCCCTCCTAATCCACCAAACCCTGGCAATATGCCAAAGCCTTTACCTCTTGGAGCACATCAGAGAGGACGTTCTTCTGAGGCCAGGGGCAGTGGCTCATTGGGTGAATCTGATGCTCCAAAAACAAAATTAAAACCATTCTTTTGGGACAAGGTTCTTGCTAACCCTGATCACTCCATGGTTTGGCATGAAATAAAAGCCGGCTCGTTCCAGTAAGCTTTGCACTGGTTTTGCTATTTACTTTGCTCTTGCGAGAGTTTAACTGTTTCTGCTTTTACCATTCTGATTGCTGAATTTTATCACAGGTTTAATGAGGAGATGATGGATTCTTTATTTGGATATATACCCGGAGACCAAGGGAAAGATGATCGAAGAAAACCTTCCTCATCCTTTGATCAAACCTCACAGTATATTCAGATTATTGATCCTAAGAAATCACAAAATCTAGCAATTCTTCTCAAAGCCTTAAATGTGACAACAGAAGAAGTTTATGATGCTCTCGAGGAGGGTAAATCTCTCTTTCACCCCTATGTTGGCTGTATGAATCCTTTTAGAAATTCCATTTGATTTGGTCCATTTCATTCCAGTACTAAATATTTTATCTAAAAAGGACAGTTTTTGGATTATCTAATACAAGAAGACTGCCCATCTCACATTGATCCCTACGTTGATATATATGTCTCTAACAAAACTAATAGGCTCTTGGCAAACACCTAACCTGAGTAGTATAACATCAATAAGTTAGCATAATCTTGACTAGTTGGTACCTATATAAATCATTTTCTTCATTTTGTTCTATTCTTAGCTATGTCCTCATTGATTTCGAGAAATGTAGGGCTAACTTTCCTACATATGGTTTTAGGCTTACCTTGTTCTCTTTTGGAGCCTGAATTTATCATATTTTTTCACCTGTGAATGGTTCATTTGGGAGTCTATGTAGGACATGCTAAACCATCTCAGTCGACCTTGTCTAATTTTATCCTCTGCATGTGATACTTGCACTCTCTGTCAGATCTGTTTATTTTGATCTTTACAAATTTTGTACAATTGCATTTCTACAATGCTCAGATTGTGGATATTTTGGACCTTACCAACCCAACATATACTTCCATATAACATTGAAACACCCCTCTGTATCAACCTTTTATATTTTAAAGTAAATTTGCTACATGTTCATTTATCATGACATTCTTCTGGAAAAGTGAACATGCTTTTGAATTAAATTGGCATCTTGACATCTGCACATGCTGTATTTGTTCTTGTGTTTAAGGGAAAGAAAAAGTCCCATCTAAAATTTTCATTGTCTGTGTAGCAACATGTCAACGATCACCTAGATACCAATTGCAAAAGCTTAAAGGGATGAGAAGACCAGTTAGAAGAAAATGTAATTTTTGAATGATAGCATATGCTTATTTTGTTACAACTGAATACATTGAAAAGCATGTCCTAGACTCCTACTTCAGCTTGCAAACTAAAATGTAGCAAAGTTTGTAGAGCATGAAATTTATTGGAAAACCATGGTATTACTTCAGTCATTTACATTTGGTATGATACTTATTTGATTCGCTGACTTTTAAAAGATGCAAACAATCCGAAGGAAAACATTGAAGTTTCACAATGATAAAAATTCCCTTATTGTCATGTACCTTGCCACACAATTGATCTTAGCAGCTAGTAATATTAAGTCGTGAAAAATTTGACGTCTATCTAATTACTTAAGTCTCTTATCAGGTAATGAGCTGCCTCCTGAACTCATAAGAACTCTCTTGAAGATGGCACCAACAAACGACGAAGAACTAAAACTCAGATTATTTGCTGGAGACATTTCTCAGCTCGGTCCTGCTGAACGTTTTCTTAAGTCCATGGTTGCAATTCCATTTGCCTTCAAACGGATGGAAGCATTGCTGCTCATGTGTTCTCTTCACGAAGAAGTTTCTTCCATTAAAGAGTCCTTCGCAACCTTAGAGGTATAGTGTAGAGTTTCTTATAATTTGATGGTTGCAGTTTAGGGTAAATTTTTTTTGTTATTCTGCTTCGGCCTCGGTTTTTATTTGTCAATTCTGTGTTTGGTGGTTTTCCAACAATAGACATACCATCCTCATGAACTCAGATAAGCAAAGAAAGCAAATAACGGTATTTATCTGGGCGGAGAGTTTAAGAAAGGAAGACTTTAAAATTTATGATCTAAAACAAGTCAGACGTTTATATGTCTAGAAACTATTTTACTAAAGGGTAAAATGAGAAGTTTATAGATTATATTAATTCTAACTATAGAAAGATATTATTCTTATGGAACAAACAAAAAAGTAAAGTGTGCCACATAAAATCGGACAGAGGGAGTAACATATATGTGTACATCATGTGACTGAGATTTCATCTCTGGAGTATCATCCCTTTTGTTAAAAATTGAGAACAATAAGAAAACAAATAATAAAGGTAATCAACTGCTCTTTTAGATTATTAGTGGCAAAAAGTATGTAGACATTAGACTTTTCTTCGTGTAATTTATAATCAACAGAAATATAGCAGTTAGTTGGACTCACCCGATTTTTGTTCTTAGATTCTTGGTTTCTCACCTTTTATATCAAAATACAGAGTTTTTCAATTGAAGGGGGTCATTTGACTTTTGCGTGAAATACTAAAGCTGAATGTTAAACAGTTGGACTAACAGTATCACCTGATTTTGAATTTTTGATAGTACCAAACTATTATTTAAAATCTTTCCACCCTAAAATAGCGGTATGAAGATGTCTATTGTCTAGTGATGCCAAGGGAATTATAGCCAACCTTGGGAATTTTAGTAATTCGCTGCCTTTCGTGATTATATAGTTGAGCTTTTTACTCATTATTGTGACTTGCAGGTCGCATCTAAGGAACTTAGAAACAGCAGGCTCTTCCTGAAACTTCTTGAAGCAGTTCTAAAAACTGGAAACCGCATGAACGATGGCACCTTCCGTGGTGGTGCGCAGGCATTCAAGCTTGACACGCTGTTGAAACTTTCAGATGTGAAAGGAACCGATGGCAAGACAACACTCTTGAACTTTGTAGTTCAGGAAATTATTCGATCTGAAGGATTAAGAGCAGCACGTAAATTAAGAGAGAACCAAAGCACTACCAGTGTACAGACAGAAGATCTTGTAGAAGATCCTGCTCAGGAGTCGGCAGATTATCATCGTAACCTTGGTCTTCAGATGGTTTCTGGTTTAAGCAACGAGCTTGAGAATGTAAGAAAAGCTTCACTTATTGACGGCGAGAACTTAAGTGCAGCTGTCATGAAGCTTAATCACTCACTCATGAAAACTAAAGAGTTTCTGGACACTGATATGAGAAGTTTGGAGGATGAAAGTAAGTTCCGTGATACACTCACAAATTTTATCCAACATGCGGAACAGGACATTACTTGCATACTAGAAGAAGAGAAAAAGATAATGTCTTTGGTTAAGAGCACAGGAGATTACTTCCATGGAAATTCAGGGAAGGATGAAGGCTTGCGTCTCTTTTCAGTCGTTAGTGATTTCTTGATTATGTTGGACAAGGCATGTACAGTGGTGAGAAACTCAACGAAGTTACCAGTTAAGATTCCTAAAAAAGGGACATTAACATCTCCTTCCCAAGAATCCTGTCCTGAGTCTTTGCAAGACATACGTAAACAACTATTTCCTGCAATCCAGGAGCGACAGATGCACTATTCTAGTTCAGACGACGAGAGCTCAAGCCCGTAGCTGTCTATTTAGGTATGTCTATTTGTAAAACTGATTTCCCATGAAAGTAATGTAAAGAGGGCTGATGAATCATAACTTTGCTGTTTTGATGTGTAGGTGTCAGAGTACTTTGGAGCTAATATGGCTTGGATAATAGTCCACAGAAGTATGTATTTAACGACTATATGAGGCCTAAGGTGTGCCTCCTACACCCAGTTAGCAAACACATGCTCTACGAGATAGAGTGAATAGACATTTTGCTTCAATGATCTCTTCGAGTCCTAGCACTAGCGGTAGGAAGAATGGCTATAGTATAGATGCCATAGTAGTTATTGCATGGTCTACTACAACGATCCACAGAGTTAAACCACAGCCTCTCACTGTCTGTAGTCACCTTTATCTATAACAATCCAAATATCGAGATGGTAATGGTACTGAAATCTCCTAAATATTTGTTAAATTATATTTAGTATGTATTGGAAGTTAGACCAGATTCGTATAGTTTCAGCTTCTTTTTCTCGTCAAGATGCATGATTGCTTATTCATCTGTTTCTGATCCATTTTGTGTCTAGTTTCTTTGTTGGACACTCAACTTGGTACAATTTTTTAGTGTCATATCTTCCAAAAACCAAGCTGTGCACCATCCGCTTTGCAACCCCTACTACTTCTGCCTTAACGACATTTAATTTACTAGATTACGTATGTTTCATTATCTACTGAACTTTCATATCCTTTGTGTTGTTAATTGTCTACTCCTCGTTCGATATTTCTGTAATATGAATTTGTGAGTTTGTTACGATTGGCGACAGCATTTCGAAGGACATCCCTTCTTTATAAGCTTTTAATCTTTCTGCTGAATGATATTGGAAAAGATTGCACCTCCACGAGGCAGTAATAAGGTTGTACAGTCTATCCTCCTCAAATCGCACTTAGGAGGCCTCATGTTTCCTAAAAAATTTTGAGGTCTCATGTTTGTACATTAAGGTGGGAAAATTAGAACATATACCACATAATCAAAAATTTTAAAATAGCAATTAGAACATATTTTTCTCATCTTCAATTGAAAAGTTTGTATCTTTACGCACTCCATACATTGCTATTATACAACATATAAATTTATGCTACTTCTAATACATAAATACCTCTTTTCTAATCAGCATTCAAACGACCCCTAAGAGGCTATATATATATATATATATATATATATATATATATATATATATATATATATCATATCATATCATATATTATTATAAGCATGAAGCTCTAGTGTAAAGTTGAATTACTATTTTGCCCTTTTATTAAATTAAAATTTAATTTATTGTTTAATTAAATATAAATATTTTAATTACACAATGATATGTATGTATCATATTCTTCTATTTAATTTTCTTAAGTATTTAAATTATGGAGAAACTTTTAATTTATCCAATCAATGACTTTCAATAAGTAAAACAAAGGATGAGATTTTCTAAAGTCTTTTTATTACTCCTATTTATTCATACATCATTTAATTACTGAAGTTGAAAGGTTTTTTCAGCTTTAAATTTTGAAGACACTACTTAACTTACATTAATTACAATGAATATGGTAAATGAAAAGATGACTTTTTTGAACTTCATTTCATATGTTACTTCAGCCTTTCCAATTAACTTGAATTATTTTCATCTTCCACATATTATTAAAATGTATAGATATTTAAGACATGGAGAAAGAAAATAACAACACAAATCAAGAGCATTCAAAAGTACAAGAATTCATATTCCAACCCTTTTTTTGAAAATTTTCTTGGTCTTCTTTATTGCATGAAACTATATGATGACACAATATGGTTCTAATACATTTGGAAGTGCTATTTTGACATTTAGATGAACGTATTATTAAAAGAGTAAGTCACAATTTAGCTAACATTTTTCCTTGTTGCTTTCCATTTTAGTTTTGTTAATTATATTATTCTTTCTTCTATATTAAATGATTTTTTGTTATATTTAAAGAATATATCGGTCTATTAATAGAAAAAAAAGTAAGGTGGACTACAATTTTGATATATGTTGTTCATAATATTTTTTATATTTCTTTGATTTCCTGTCATTGTATAAAATAATTTCATTGTGTATGTTCTTTTTGGCTATATATGATAAAATCCTAATGCATAAATTTTCTTTCTGATATGGTATCTTCTCTTCAATCTTTTGGTGTTATATTACGCTGTGTGATATTTTTTTGGTTGAAGGGTAAAAACATTTTAAACAACACAGTATAAAATTGGATTATCATTTTATCCTGTGTTAAATCAAAATATTATAAAATATTTATATATAAATAGTAATCATTCTATATGCCACACTAAATATTAAAAAAATTGGTTAAAGTCAAAAAATTGAAAGACAATATTCATAAATAAATTTTAGGCATTTCTACCCTTTTAACGACTAAAATAGTTTCAATTTTTTGAATATTTTTCTTTATACTAAAACATAAATTATTTTATTATGAGACCATTGAGTTAAATCAATATATAAAATCCATAATCAATGCTCACTAAAGATTTGCAATGTTTTATAGATAATAGTTTTGACAAATTACTTGATGCAACTTTAATTGCTACTATTATTTTGAATAATAGTTGCAGTTATTGTATTTTTTCATTTCATTGTGATAAGGAATAATATATATCTTCATAACTTACACCATCTAATTATCCTATTTTTATTCCATATACATCTTTATTTGTTTCATGAGTATCCTAACTAAGGTTATTTTTTGCATTCTATAGTTTAAATAGTGCTGCTTATATCATTATTGTTTTATTTGATTCATACTTTAACTAAATGAAGAAGTCTCTTGAATTATAATTGTTTATGGGAGAAGTGTCTACAAAAATTTCAAAAAATATATATAGATTTTGTATTTCTTTTTCCCTATACATATTGTTATGACTAGACCCTTCAAAAGAATGTATATGTTGTCGCATGTTTTTTTCTTTGTTTATTTTGTATATGTGTTTTCTCTCTATTAAACTTCTTTAATTTGATTTTTCATAAATTTCTGATTGTTTTAATTGTATTTTTATTTAGGCTAAAGTTAATCTTTTGTGACTACATATAATGTAAATTGGCTAATTACTATCAAAAGTTCTAAATTTACGATTTGTTGATAAATTTTATACATTAAAATAAGATTTCTCATTTGTTGTTATTGTGATTAAACTTCTTTAATTTGATTTTTCATAAATTTATGATTGTTTTAATTGTATTTTTATTTAGGCTAAAGTTAATCTTTTGTGACTATATATAATGCAAATTGGCTAATTACTATCTAAAGTTCTAAATTTAGAGATTTTTGATAAATTTATACATTAAAATAAGATTTCTCATTTGATTTTTTGTCACAATTTTATAATTTTATTAGTAACTGTCGCATTTTGTTATTCGTTACATGCATGTACATGTAGACTTCTAATTGTTATAATGAATATAAAAAATAACATGGAATACACGTGCAACGCACGTGTCTGAAACTAGTATTATTATAAGTGGGAAGATCATAACTTTAAAGTTGAATTACGCATTTTGCCCTTATTTTATCCCTAAACTAAATTAAATTATTAATATATAATTAATTTAATATTAAATAATCAAATTTAAACCCTTGCATCTAGACACAATATTTTAGATTCTAATTATTTACATACTAAGTAATAATTATATTATATTATACTAAATACTAAAACTAAGAAGGTGTAAAGTCAAACTTTGAAATACAAAAATATTTTATAGAAAATTGTTAGAAATTATTTCATAGGAAATTGTTAGGAATTACTTTTTTTAAAAAATAAAAGTTATCTATTCTTTCTTTATAATTAATGTGGTTAAATGATTAAATTTGTTATCCTCTCTCTATAGTTAGTATAATTGAATGTATTGAATTATTAGTAAAAACAATCATCTTTCCTCTACCCCATGTCTGAGATTATTTAACTTCTGAAAATTAACTTAAACAACTTTCAACCTTTTCATCTTATCCAATGAATCTTTAGCTATATATATGTATCATGAAAAAATAATTTTTCTTTACCACTTGCCTCGTGTTGATGTGAATCATTAGGCAATTTTCAGGTTCTCTTTTTTGTTTTTAAATATTAATATTTGTTGATCATCATTAGAATGATATTTTTTTATCATAAATTTCATCTTTACCATTTTAGATTATTTTTTTTAGTTACGGGAGAAAAAATGTTTTTTTTTGTTATGGGAGAAATTTTTTTTTACTCCTTGTGTATTTCTTTTTACTATATACATTGTTATAATAAAAGTCTTTAAGAAGGATATGAATGTTGTATTTTATTCTTATCTGTTTTTTTTTTTTTGTATTCTTTACCAATTATACTTCTTTAATATAATCTATTATGAAATTATGAATGTTATGAGTCTATTTTTATTAGTGCTGAAATTACTAATTTATGACATTTAGATTCATTTTTAAATGTACTTTTATAATATTTATTTACTTTTATCTTTCCTTACTAATATAGTTTCTTTAAGTAGCTACATATTTGTGTACTTACTAATATGGAGCGTAATGAGAGATTATTAAGAATAAGTCATATAGATATATTAATATTATTAGATGCTATAATAATATAATTATCTTTTCATATTTTTTGCTAGATGGTCAATGTGCTATTCGATTATTATGAATTTTATTTAATGAATAAAATAAATATTGGTAAAACTAATATTTCTAATTTCAACATTATATAATAATTCAACTTTATAATAATTGTATGAGAAAAACGTGCAACGCACGTTTCGAAAACTAGTATTATTATAAGTGGGAAGCTCTAACCTTAAAAGTTGAATTACCATTTTATCCCTCCACCAATTAAAATAAATTAATTTATTTTTTAAATACTAATATTTAATTACATAATGATAGAATATGAAGTCCAACAACTACACTTTAATGTTTTAAATATGACATTAAAATTATAATTAATTAGGTTGAATTAAATTAGAGCAGAAAACACTAATGTATGTAACTCTTCGAATTTTGTGATTCTTTGAATTTGAAATCAACATAAATTTATCTATCATGAAAAAATAATGTGTGAAACTCTTCAAATTCTGTGATTCTTTGAATTTTGAAACTAAAATAAATTTATCTATCATGATTCAATATGCACCATTAAAAATTTTTGATAGGTGAAAAGATAATCAAATATCACTATAAATACCTGTTAATTGCTTCCTAGGTCATCACATTCTTTTCTTTTCTATCATCTACTATTCTCTTTTTTTTCTTCTTAAATTTATGATATGAATACAAGTTGTTAAGAAGCTAACTGAGGAGAAGAACAAATAGCTTCATTCTGAAATTAGAAGAGAAACTTTCTTAGAATATAGTTCAGGCTGTGAATTAACAGTATAAGATATGACTTATATATTTCTTTAGATCTTTCTTATGTTAGATTATGATTTTATGTTTTTCTTTTTCATTTTGGAGTTACGGAATGGTTGTCCAAAATGAATTGGTATGCAACCCATATTTTTATGTAATTATGTATTATTTTGCATTGTTATGAAAAGAAAAATTCCTTATTTTCGTGTTATATTTTTTTAAGTGTTTTTAATTACAAAATTTCTATTAATACGTGATGAGTTTGATAATATTTGAACAGTATATACAAAATATGCTTTTGTTTAAATAGAAGTAATTTAAATATATATATATATATATATATATGTATATATTCGTAATATTCACGTGCAAAGCACGTGTCGAGAACTAGTATATATATAAGTGGAAAGATTTTGAGTTCAAAGTTGAATTACTAAAATGTCTTTCACTTATTTATTAAATTAGAAAATGTCATTTACAAACTATGAAAATTAAATAAATAATGATAGTAAAACATTTTTCTATTTTTTGTTGATCTTTAATTATTGATCCTTTTAATTTCTGCACTTAAACTCATTCCAACCGCACTTAATGTTTCACACTAAATTCAATACTTAAGATTGAAGATAGATAGTCATAATCTCCTTGATTACAATCCAAAAACGTTTCAAGTCATATTTTTCTTAGTTATTGTTAATCAATGTTTATATAATTTTTTCCACCTTTTCATATTCTTTACATTACATAACTCTATAAAGATATACAATAAGTTTTCTTTCGTTTTCTTTCTCTCATCTTCCAGTCAATCTCATTTTGCTATAGATTCTTCTTTTCCACGTATATCTATCGTTTTTATATATGTATGTGTGATTTAAACCTCAATATTAATATGTTTAGCGATATAGTGTTGATATGAAAACATAATGATTATATTAAATTAGTACTATTTATCCCAATTTCTTAAGTTAATCTTTTGGTTCATATAATTAATTTCATCATATGGAAACAAAGATCAAATAGAATAGTCAAAAGATATTCGAAAATGAGAATAATGTTCATCAATTTTTTTTTCTATTTTCATCTAAAAAATACTACTGTATATATATATTATAAAATAAAATAAAAAAAAGAAGAATGAATTCATATAAACACAAAAGAAAAATATTCTTATATTTGTGATTTTAGCAATAACTAGAATTGCATTTATTTCTTCTTCATGTCTTTGCTACTTTCGTCAAAGACTTTTACATTTGTTTATTATTTTTTTTAGTAGTTCATTGTAAACTACTTCAATAACTGAGTTGTTTGATCTGGAAAAAAAATAGTTATTCATAGACATATTCATACCATTAGAGACTAAATCATAATTAAAATTGTTAATTTTTGCATTTCTTATTATATAATTGAACTTTATAAAGAAAAATTTAAAATAAAAATAATAAGGGACAAACGTATTGCTAATAGAGATGAGAAGAATAGGGATAACGCACACGTATTCTAGACTATGACCAAAATCACAGAGAAACATTTTAACTAAACTATGATTTTATTACCCCTAAACTCATTTTTTTTTGTAATTATACACTTTCTGGCTTAGATGGAACACTTTATGACATAGTTGAGACGCGTGAAAAGATGTTTCGATGTCACATAAATTTAGAAAAATAATATAATGATGTTATTTGGAGTTCTTGATCTTCAGAAGAATTGAGAATTGGAGATTTTGAGAGTTGATATACTTATAATGATATTGTTAAGTTGTAAGATGGACTTTTGGGGAAGTTGATTGAGGGTAAAAGGTGAAGAATACCCTTCTAAGAACTTAAAAAGAAAATAAAAATCAAAGAAAATGATTTTTTAATGAATTTCCTCGGCCAAAACGGCAATCTGGACGTCTACTCGATCATCGAAAAAAAAGTTGGAGGATCGTGCCAATTGGACTTTTAGATTACCCAAATGGATAGAAACTTAAGGTTTTCGGGACAATTCGGTGATTCGCCAACCTATTCGGTGGATCCACCGATTGAGTAGGTGACCTCTCTTAATTTCCCAGTTAAAGTATGTTCCAGTAAAACGATCATAATTTTTTACTTCGAACTCGAAATAAGAAAAATTCGGTGGCATTGGAAAAAAGATGCATAGACCTTTAATTTAATAGATCAAAACCACCAAATTCACTATATGTTCAGATTTATTAGTATTTTTAAGTTGACCTTTATATGAACTAATGTAAGAACTGAGCCAATGTAATGCTTTGAACTTGGCTTGGTGTTTAAGGACTGTTATGACCCTAGATCACTTTAGATACCCTTTAATTATACTCTTGGTTAGGGACCTTAAAACACACGAGCAAGTACGTCATCACCCGTTTCAAGCTCATATACTTACGATGAACAATTCAAATTCTTAAGAGTAAAATTGTGAGATGTTCTAAACTTAGAAATTTTCAGGGTATTACAAAAGATATAGACAAGACTGTACATTTTGTTTTCTCCAAATCTCACTTCTAAAATTTCACTAGATATGTTTGTTGTTGTGTAAAACTGGATCTCCTTTTGTAATTGAAATTTTAGAATTTTTTTTTAATAATTTTATAAGCTTTCTATTAGGTTTACGATTTAGCTATCCATAAAATAAAAGGCTTATTGAGTTTTTGAGTTCCTTTCTTTTTAGTAATATCTGTTTGTGTTCGAATAATCTATTGACATATCAGATTCAATGTTATTTTCAAAATACAAACAATACAATAATTAAAAAGAAATTGTTAGCAAATTTAATATCAAAATAATACAATACTTGAAAAATGATATTAACAAATATTACTTTAATATTTTTTTATCGGATGTCCCCGAAGGAACAAAAATATTACTTTAATATATATTGACATATATAAAAGGTCGGGACATGTAGGCAGGGGGAATAAAAAATGTAACGTATATTTGTACTTTCAAGATTCAAACATTACAATATTTTGTAAATAATCTTAGCAATATTTAAACATATAGACATATTAAATTGATTATATATATATATATATATATATATATATATATATATTGATTATATATATATATATATATATATATATATATATATATATATATATAAAATATTGTAATGTTTGAATCTTGAAAGTACAAATATATGTTACATTTTTTATTCAAACAAAATACATGTTTTGACCTTTTATATATGTCAATATATATTAAAGTAATATATATATATATATATATATATATATATATATATATATATATATATATATATATATATATACGCAAGTGACTCGTTTTTAAATATAGGGAAAATTTTATATATGGCAAACTTAATTGATGAAATAACATTAGATAGGTATAGTTTACATAATTACAATATAGTTTAGGTATTTAGGTATCTTTAATTTTGTATATAATATTTTCTTTTTTTTTATTTATACAATTTTTTTTTAAGAAAAGTGGATTGTAACTGAAGCGCTAAATAAGGTAACTATAAATTTAGACAATGTAATAATTTAAGATAAACGTTCAAAATCACTTTCTTTTCAAACTAAGAATTATACAACAATTGAAAGACAAAAGAAACTTGTTTTTGCGCATGAACGAAGCATCAAATCAACTATTTTTTTCTTGGTATATTCAAAGACAGGTAATGTTTCATTTGAGGAAACTTTATGTTTTTAATTGTAGTAATTATCATTTGGCAATAATCGCCTCTATTAAATGTAGGACAATTTTCACAGATAGCAAACAAAAAATTCATATTTATGCTATAATAACAAAGTTTGCATACAACTGTATAATTCGCTACACATATACAACTGTATAATTCGCTGGTCTCGCTATACATATACAATTGTGTGATTCACCGGCCTAAATTGTATAATTCGCTGGCCTATTTCACTGCAATTGTATAATGCGCAATTGTATAATTCGCTGGCCTATTTCGCTGCAATATGTGTATAAAATTTGAATTGCATACAATTGAATCGAAATAAAATATTTGTCTATTGCATAATTATAAGTATATAGAAAGAAGATATATGTTTTTCTCTTGCTTTATACAAAAACAGAAACACAATTGTATAAAGCGAGAGAAAAATATATTATGAAATAGACATTTATATCCAAAATTTACGTAATCTAAGAATATGGTAAGTAATTTTATAAATTATTCTATTTATTGATACGACTTATTCTGCAATCTCGAACTTGGTCCCGTCTCTCTCTTTCTAGGTCTCTTGCGACCTCTTTGCAATTGGTTTCGATGGGCAACAACTTTTGCAGGAACACTCGAATCGACTGCGAAGTCTAATGCAAAAGGCGAAGACAAGGAATAACGCGATTCCACTTCAAATTCGGATGCTGACCCATCTTCACTTTCAGTATCAGAAGAAGATTAGGGTATGTGTAGAGTTATTAACTGATTTTTGAGTGATAAATCTCTTTTTGACCGAATGATTAATTTTGAATCCTTCACCATTTTTTTCCAAATTCACATCTAATTAAGAACGAGAAATCACACGAAAAAAAGAATTTCCAATTAAAATAACTAATAAGATGTGATTGTTCCGTCCTTCGACCAGTAGTGACTCATAAATTTCACTCGGAATACATGTCTAAATGGGGAAAGTGATTATCCAACTGTAGAAGGGCGCGGCAATCGATTAATACATTCGCTTTTTGTATAAATTGAGAAAAACCCTACACAAAGCTTTCATCTTTTTGTCTCTGCTTCAGCACTCACCATAGACATAGCTGTTGGCCGAATAGCTCTCTTTTCTTGCTTTCAGAAACAATGGCCCCCAAAACCAAATCCCGCTTAGTAGACCAGCCTCCTTCTGCATCGTCCTCTGAAGAACAAGAATTGGTGGAGGAATCCCAGGAAGAAGAAGAAGAACAATCGAGGGAGGAAGAAGGAGAAGAAGAATCAGGGGAAGAAACTGAAGAACCCAAGACAGCACATCCTGTTGTAAAGAGATCCAGCACTCAGAAACTCCAATTTTCTTCTGATTCCGGCAGCGAGAGTGGGTCAGGATCCGAATCCGGACATTCCCTGCCTTCCCCTTCTGCATTGGACTTCACCATCAAGCCCAGTGTTCCTGCTAAAGCTGCCACCCCATCGAAGCCAGCAGCAAAGAGGCCGCAAGATACCCAGACAGAGAAAGGGAGGAAGAAGCCCAAGATTGCAGAAGAAGAGGAGAAAAAATCAGCTGCTACTCCTCGCAATCTATGGAGCGATGACGACCAGCTTGCTCTACTCAAAGGTATTGCTGAATACAAGGCGGTAAAAGGTGTGGAACCTATTGCCGATATGTCTGCTTTTCATGAATTCATCAGGGGGAAGTTGCAGGTTGAAGCTTCAAATAAGAGACTCCGAGACAAGGTAAGGAGGTTAAAGACGAAATATTTGACTAATGTGAAAGATAGTGAGGAGCCAGTTTTCATGAAGGGTCAGGATTATCTAGTTTTTGAGCATTCAAAGAGGATTTGGGGTGCCCCTGGAACTAGTAATGGAGTTAGCACTAATGGCACAGCTAAAATTACTGTTGAGGTTAACAAGAGCTCTGAACCTAAGAGAAGTGCTAAAGTCAGCAAACCCAAGGATGATGAGAAACATAAGGAAGAAGAGAAACAGGTTGCTGTAAAAGAGGTGGTTAAGGAGGATATAGTTAAGGGTGATCAACAGGATTTCCAGTCTGAATTTCCACATTTGACTGCTTCATTTGAAAGTATGGCTGGCATGTCGACAATGTATCCGAATGGAACAAGTTTTTTGAAGGAGAAGATGAGTTCCATTGCTACTGACAAGGCTAAAGTGTTGGATAAGAAGTGGAAGAAACTGGAGGATGACGAAGCTGCCTTGATGGTGAACCGTTTAGATTTGATTGCGGAGCATTATAGATTGGTGGTCAATGCAATGAGTGGAAACTAGATGCTGATGGATCATGTTCTATTCGATGCTACAACTTCCGATGCTGTTTCGGTGGAGTTTTAGGTTTTGTTTCATATAGTCTTGTTTCTCAAGACAGTTTTCTTCTCGCGATGGTGTACTTATGTTTAGTCCGTGAGGTAGATTTAGTTTATCAAGTTGATCCATACATTTTATTGCTTAGTTTTACTAGTGAACTGGTTTGATGATATCCGCTGTGTTGCTTCTTATATATGTTAGTGTGGTATGGAGTGATTGTCTTTACTAAGGGGTTGCAATGAAATGCCTACACATTCCTATCATATATGCCATATACGGTGGAAGCAAACTTATTAATAGCTAAAGTGGAATGTCTGGAGCTGTTCGGGTTCATCCTTTGTAATATGTAATTTCCTAAACCAGATGGCAATATATTTAAATGTGATCTTTCTCAATTTTTGCAGTTTGTGTTGATTCGCTTTGTTCTCTATCGTTGTTCATGCCAGCTTATCATACCAGTTAATTGATTTGGGGAGGTGGTGGTGGGTTAGTTACAGTTTCATCGAGATATTTCTTTTGGTATAGAGTTGTTTCCTGCTTCTTAGGTGTTACCTTTAACTGCTTATTCTCTATTCTTTCCCAGTGAAGATATTTTGCAGCGCATGAATGTGCACACATACACCTTTATATGTATGTGCATGTCAACACACTTGCACTTCTGAAACCATTGAGGTCAGTTATCATTTGAATTCTCAATATCCATTCGTTTTATTCAGGCCCATTGCATTACTATACTGAATAATTAGGTCTTAAAAGACAAATTAGGGGTTGCCTTAATCTCCCAGACATCTCTCTATGGTATCTATTGACTAGTTTAATCTCAACTATTTGTCATAACTCATGTAGATCTCTTGGTTTGATTGTGTTCTGTTTTTAACCAAGTCTACATAGATTTCAAAGAACTTCAGGGATTGTAAACTATTTCTTCAATGTGATTTTAGTTCACCTATTAAACATGGGAAAATTATGCGGCTAATCAAACTTATACTATTTAATTACTCATCATAGATATAGTTTGTTATAATTATCATTCGCGACTAACATTATACATTAATTACGTGGGCTGACTTCGAGTTTGTATAATTAGTCATGTTTGTATATGTATAATTCGCCAGGATATACAAATAAATATGTATAATATACAATTTTATAACCTATATACATATTCAATTCATCTCTCTCGCTCTCTGCCGTCTCTCGCTCGCCTCTCTCCTCCTCTCAATCTTGCTCCCCTAAATATCCTCCCTCTCCCAATCTCGCTTGTCATTTATACAAATGTATATGTATAATATACAGTTATATACAATTATATACATATACAATTCACCTCTCTCCCACTCTCTGCCCTCTCTCGCTCGCCTCTCTCCTCCCTCTCTCGATCTCGCTCGCCTCTCTCCTCTCTCTCCCAGTCTTGCTCGGCTCCCGCCTCTCTCTCCCAATCTCTCTTGCCATATATACAAATACATATGTATAATATACAATTATCTAACCAATATACATATACAATTCACCTTTCTCCCACTCTTTTTCCCCTCTCTCGCCTCTCTCCTCTCTCTCTCCTAGTCTCCCTCGCCTCTCCTCCATATAACATGTAGTTACAAATTGTAATTATCAAAATATAGCTATGGGGAGTAATTTATTATTTTTAAGTGCTATATGTGAAAGATTCCCGATAAAAGCCTTAGTTATCGTGTTGTCGAACTTCTAAACCAGTGTATTTTGGAGGTCTTAACACACGGGGAAAGCATCTAACTTTATATCTTCTATATGTGCCACCTGCACTCTATTAGATGTAATAAGTTTTGACATTTTCCAATTAACTTGTGTCTAGTGTTGTCCAGTTTTATAAGATCTTAAATCTGTTTTAATATCAGTTCTTTGACAACATTATCTTATGAATACCTTGAGCATCTCATAAATGCAATTAACTGCTGTATAATAGTCTGTTACACAATTATTCTATCCTGAATTATGTTTTTATCACATGGAACCGTTCTATGATTCTTTTGGTTTCAGCCCTCCTTATATGGATCTCTCTGTCATACCTTTTTTCCCTGATAGACTCAGAATATATATCTAAATTGTTTCTATTGAAATATAATTAAATAATAAAAGTATGTTCTGCTTAATAACTGTCTTTTTGATGAGATTGTCACATATGTTAATAAGGTATCAAAGCAGACAGAGGTCCTGAGATCGAATATCTCCGCCACCCAAATAATCAAAATGAATATCTAGGTGCCTGACCCATGAAAAAATCAGGCCAGTCCGCCCGCACGTGAGGGGGCATGTTGAGAATACAACTTAATAATAAGTGTGTTCTCTCTGAGCAGAAGACATTGTTGGAGCTGGTAATGAGTCACCAAGATTGCTTTGTGCACCTTTATATGAGTTAGAAATAACAACTTGATTAGCAAGTTCAAAAGGAGGTTGAGGTCGTCGGAAATAGACCTTAAAATTTGGAGATGGAGCTGGGGTTGGAATAGTTTGAATGAGAAGGACTGTTATGGCCTTCTGATTTTCCGTATTAGGAGAAAAATACGGAGATGTCTCAAAAAAAGTAACATTTGCAGTGATCAAGCACTTATTAATAGAGGTATCAAAGCCAAATGTAACCTTTTTGTAGACTAGAATATGCGAGAAAGACACATTTGAAGGCCTTATTCTGAAGTAGCCAATAAAAGTAACAAGATAATGAAATCCTAAGGAAAAATCACATGACTTGCAGGCCATATATTTGAATGAACAGTAGCAAACATAGAGGTGGCCCGTTTATTGATGTGTTTTAGGAAAGGGGCAGGATTGTGCTTACCAAGCTAACACAACTCACATTTGAACGAAGATAAACTAGATAAACTTGGGACCATCTTTGACAATTCAAGAGACTTGGATAACCCAATTGACTATGGAGCAATTTAGAAGAAACAACATCGAGTGTTGGGATAAAGAGTAGGTACAATCCCTATGACTCACCTGTCCCATGCTCTGATCCTACACAAGAACAGAATCATTAAAGAAGGTTACAATGCATTTCATGTTTTTGTAAATTTTGCTAATAGAAATAAGATTATATGGACATTCAGATGCAAAAAAGATTGAGTTTAAAGGTATGGAATGATTTTGAGAATATAATTAAATAATAAAAGTGTGCTTTCTCTAACCGCTTAAACCTTTTTTTTTTATAATGAGTAATCCGTCCGGTGACCCTTTGGACCAATCAAAACCTTGTAAACTCGGTGGATGATGGGTCCGCCCTTCTACCCTCACTTTGCATGGTGCGGGGCTTGAACTTGCGACCTAAGCCACAAATCCTCCACCTTTTGCCACTCGAGCTAGTCCTTGGGGGCTATTTATGTATATCTTGTATATGTTATTTGTATGTATATATATTTTTTTAAGTAGCGACTCATTTTTAAAATGTGACAAGAACTAAACAACTGGTTCTATTAAATGTAGATGTCAATGCTATTATTAGAGAGTAATAGAACACGAAATCCAAATTGTAAACCCAGTCTGGCCCATTTAGCCCGTTAACTACACTAACAAAGATATGGTTCTAAACCGAACATCCTTTCCCTGGCCCCATTCTCACCCCTTAACATTAGCTATGGTTAGCGCAACTACAGTGTGACCACATTTTTATGAATCAGATTGTCCCAGCTTGACCGAATGATATCCTTACTTCAATGTTTGAACTATTAATAATTTCTTTAATGAGCAAGAAAAATTATGGAATGTATATTTATATTCAAAATATATGTAATTAAGAATATGGTAAGTTATTTTATGAAATTTTCTATTTATTGATACACTTCTTCTGCAATCTTCAGGCTTCTTCCCCCCTTTCTCTTTCTAGGTTTTCTTGCCGCCTCTTTGCTGCTGTTTCGGTGGGAAACAACTTTTGCATAAACAAATGGAAGAAGAAAAAAAGGTTGCTGTAAAAGAGGTCGTTACGGAGGATATAGTTACGGGTGATCAACAGGATTTCCAATCCAAATATCCACGTTTGGCTGCATCATTTGGAAGTATGGCTGGCATGTCTACAATGTATCCGAATGGATCGAGCTTTTTGAAGGAGAAGATGAGTTTGATTGCTACAGACAAGGCTGAAATGTTGGAGGAGAAGTGGAAGAAACTGGAGGATGACGAAGCTGCCTTGATGGTGAAGCGCTTAGATTTGATTGCGGAGCATTTCAAATTGGTGGTTGATGCAATGAGAGGTAACTAGATGCGGATGGATCATGTTTTATTCGGTGCTACAAGTTCTGATTCTGTTTCGGTGGAGTTTTAGATTTTGTTTTGATGTAGTCTTGTTTCTCAAGACAATTTCTTCTCGCGTTGATGTACTTGTGTTTAGTCTGTGAGGAAGCTTTAGTTTATCGGGTTGATTCAAACATTTTATTGCTTCTTTTTAGTTTTTCTATGAACTGGTTTGGATGATATCCGCTGTGTTTGCTTCTGGTTCATCCTTTTAATATGTCATTTCCTATTCCAGATGGAAATATATTTAAATGCGATCTTTCTCAGTTTTTGCCGCTTGTGTTGATTCACATTGTTCTCAGTTGTTGTTCATGCCAGCTTATCATACCAGTTAATTGATTTGGGGTGGGAGTGGTGTGTTAGACAGATGTCCAATCCTATAGGTTTTATGTCCTGCTATAAATCTAAAAGAACTTAAATTATGATGGAAAAATTTCTTACAGGCAATGCTTCTTAGGTGTTTCCTTTAACTGCTGATTTCTACTCTTTCCCAGAGAAGATATTCTGCAGCGCATGAATGCACACAGATACACCTTTAATATGTGTGTGTGTGTCTACACACTTGGATTTATCGTCATTCAATCAACTATGTTTCAATTCAGAAACCATCGAGAGGTCAGTTATCATATGAATTCCTAATATCCATTTGTTTTGTTCAGGTCCATTGCATTCAAATTAGGGGTTTCCTATATCTCCCACACCTCTCTATGGTATTTACTGACTAGTTTAATCTCAATTGTTTGGCATAACTCATGTAGATCTCTTGGTTTGATTGTCTTCTGTTTTTAATCAAGTCTACATGGATTTCAAACGACTTTAGGGATTGAAAACTTTTTCTCCGTGACACTTAGTTATCATGTTATCAAACCTATAAACCAGTGCATTTTGGAGGTTTTAACACACGGGGAAGCCATCTAACTTTATCTCCTAAATGTGCTATCTGCACTCTGTTAGATGTAATAAGTACTGATATCTTCCTGTTTTCTTGCATCTAAAAGGGTGTCCGGTTTTATAAGCTCAGAAATCTGTTTTGATATCAGTTCTTTGACAACTTTTGTCTTATAAACATGTTTGAGTATCTTAGAAATGCAATTTACTGCCGTATAAATAGCCTGTTACACGATCATTCTATCCTGAACTATGTTTTAATCGCATGGAACCGTTAGGCTTCTATTCGTTTCATCCCTCATTATTTGGCTCTCTCTGTCGTACCTTTCTCCTGGTAGACTTTGAATAGATATCTAAATTGTTTATGTTTTAGAATATAATAATACGAAAAAAGGTGTTTTTTCTCTAATCGCAAGTTTTTAGATACGATGGTTACACACTTTAGTATGGTATCAGAATAGACAGATGTGCTGAAATTGAATCTCACCACCACCCAAAAATCAAAAAGAATTTTCACGTGCTTGACCAGTGAAAAGATTAGGCCCGCTCACACGCATGTGAGGGGATGTGTTGAGAATATATTAAATAATAAAGAGTTGGAAATATCAACTGGATTAGCGAGTTCATATGGAGGTTGAGGTCGTTGGGAATAGACCTTAAGAGTCGGAGGTGGAGGTGGGTTGAAATATTTGAATGGGAAGCTCTTTATGCCCTTCTTATTTTTTGTATTAGGAGAAAAATACAGAAAAATCTTGAAAGAAAATAGCATTTGCGAGGTCAAGTACTTATTGGTAGAGGGATCAAAGCATTTGTAACCTTTTTGTAGACGAGAATACCCTTGAAGGGCACATTTGAATGCCTTGCGTTGAAGCCTATCTTTTTCGGGGTAATGTTATGAACAAAATAGGTGCAACCAAAAATACCAACAACATGCTCGAGATTTGCATTATACATACTACTAGAATCGGAAATAGGGAGAACTAGGGAGATGAACATTCAACTATTTCATTAGGAACAACCCTAGTTTCGATTTTCTTGATTTCAAAACGTTTGAAAAGCCTCCCTGGGAAAGGAATCCAAGAGAGAAAACTCATACCTTACTGTAGAATTGAATCTACGAAAATCACTCTGTACTTTGCACGAGAATCTTGAAGAATTGCTTTGAAATAGCCTAAGGAGAATTGAGAGTATTTTTCCGTTCTTCTCACGTTTATTCATTGTTTTTCAGTCGTGGGTTTCTACTGGATAAACGTGAGCGTAAGTCTTAGGAACTGAATATTGACTAATTCAACTTAAGCTAAATAACTTAATTAAATAAATCAATTAGCTAATTAGCAAAATGCCCCTCCTAAATTGACTAAAAATAGGAGAGCATCTGACTTAGCCAAATTCTGAAAATTTGCTATCGTGTTTGACCATGAATTTAAATTAATTAATTAAGCTGCTAATTTAATTCATTAAGTGACCTAAGATAATTACTAAAGTACCCCTAAGTCACTAGGACCATAACCAACCCCTTTGGACCATCCTAGGTTAGATACTAGGATGTTTCTTTAGTTAGTTACTCGGCTAGTGTTATCCAGTTAGGTCTTAGGATTTCGGGCACACTAGTTAGTTCATTTTAGTTAATCCTAGGTTAGTTAGCTAATTAGGTAAGTTAGTTAGAGCCTAGGATTGGTTAGGAAGTTCGGCCCCACGTGGCTTGACCTGACGCGTGCCGACCCCTTAACCGCCCTAACCGAATCGGTTGGGCTTGGTCGCTTGGTCTCTCAAGCACATGTGTTACCGTGCACTCTGTAGTTGCACTTGGAAAGTTCACTTCTTGTCCCAAGGATCCTCACTATGTCCTTGGGCACTTCTTAATCTACATGATCATATTTTAAATGATCATGTGTTATGGCACCTAGGCTTGACACTTGGATGTCTCGTACCTAATGTGTGAAATCAAAAATTTTAGTTTAGGGTCTTCATTGTAGGTAGAATTTCTAAACAAACTTGGATTGAAGTATTTGAACATCAAAGTATATCTTAAGTTACTTGTTAATACAGAGAAATTGGCTAACACCCTTAAGCCAATATTCTCTAACATGCGCAATAGTACTCAATATTGGGCATTGAGATGTCTATGTACCCCAATACATATTCTTAAAACTTAATAGACTCTTCACTAGACAAGTACATTTCTGAAATATTACATTAATCTATCCGTTTTATAATACTTAAATACATATTATTTATATTATTGTAAACACTTAATATGATATTCTTAATTATTGATAGAATATTTAATAAGTTTGATATTATGTAACATTTTAATCTAATGTAGTGGAAAAACAACAATTTAACTTTTTTCTAAATTTCTTCTCATTTTTAATAATAATAATAATAATAATAATAATAATAATATTATTATTATTATGTTTTAATGAAAAATCGACTTCTCAAAGTCCTCAGGCATTACTATTTCATTAAAAAAAAAAGTAAATTTCTAGCATCCAATAATATTTATATTTAATATATTGACTGACTTTTCAAATTTTTTAGATATTTTACTATTTCATTAAAAAGGAAAGTAGACTTTTAGCATTTCATAATATTTGATTTTTTTTAAAAAGTATTTAGTATAGGAGTAAAAGCTTCTCACTTATAATAATTACTAGTCATGGACACGTGCTTTGCACATGAGTTCCACAAAAATATTATATATAGTAAGAGTTATATTAAAATCACATCAAACAAAAATGAAATTTTAACTAAAAATATTAAAATCACATTTTGAAGAATTTCAAAAATGATTTAACGAAAAAATTTAAATGAAATAAATAGACAACCTATATAAATGACTTCTTTATTGTAAAATGTAAATGTCAAATAATTAGATATTCTGATAACCTGTCAAATTTGGACAATAAATGTGATAAATAATTTACCTTATTATATTATTAGGTCGAAACCTACAATATATTAGTTTGTTACTTTTCTAAGAAAGTGACAATATATACAGAACACACCTTCTCAATTTGTACCAAAGTTTGTATTATCATATGTACTTGTAACAAGTATATTTGTTGTCTCCATATTACATTCAAATGACATAGTAAGTTTATTGTTCTTTGTAGTATGAACAAAAAATTTCAATAGCTTGTTCATGGTTATTTTTCCTACTTACTGTATTTTAATTTTTTATCCATTTTTTTCTCTAACTTTATTATTCATATTTGACTTTTAAGTATTCCTTCATATTAAATTAAATTACCTCATTTGTTAGAATATGTCTTCTTCAGAGATTTTCTCAATTTCTTTTGCTCTATGTTGTTGAGGGAAAAACATTAGTTATCCTTTTTACCTCGGAAGCTAGGAGATTGAAGAAAAATAAATTTCAATAAGTCATTATCAAACTAAAGTTATCAAGGAGGCTCTACTTTGTGAAATACACATGCATTAAGTTATTAAAATCTAATTAAAAATACAATAGTCGTATGTATGTCAAATTTATTAAAAAGTAATCATGCAAAAAAATGTAAATTTGTTGGAGAGGCATGTTACATACCTCATTTGTATCGGCACAATTTCTACTAAAAGTTCTAATCAATGTCTGCAAAAGAATCATCTTACCTAAGAATAAATTACATCATAAGTTCATAAAACAAAATTTAACAGTATATTTTCATGTGAGAGATCAAACACTTAAATATCAATTTAGAATATAATTTGAATGATAGCAAAAACTGAAAAATCTCAATGTAAAGAAAGACTTGAAAATACAAAGTATGATAAGAGATTTATGTTCTCTAAATCAAATTCAAATGTACAATATTGTCATTAGAAGACAACGTGTAAGAAACTTATTAATAATAATTTCTTGAAGAGTTAAAAACTCATTCAACTTTAATAGTGATTTCTAGTTTCACACTTATAGAGTAATAACTAATCATTATTTATAAGAATAATATGATAATGAGATTTAAAAAGTTAAAAGATTTTTTTCTTAATCCAATTTTAGACTAAGCATCTTCCCACTTATAATATAAAATATAATAACAATTATATAATAGGATATATTGTGATATATGATAAATAAAAAATAAAACAATAATAACATAATATATGAATGATATGATATGATGATGTATACATTGTTTTTATCTATCATAACTTTTCAAATTCCTCTGAGAATTATGATTAAGATTAAAAATAATATCAATGTACTCATTTATCAAAAAAATAATAATTTAATTATTAAAGAACTAAAGGATTTAAATTTTGTCATTATGCAATTAAAATATTTGTATTTAATTAAATGATCTAATTTTAATTTAGTAAAATGACAAAATGGTTATTCAATTTTTTACTTTGAAACTTTCCACTTATAATAATA